GTCTGAGAAGCCACGTGTGTTTTAGGTGATGGGAATGAGACTAGTTGGGCTGGAATGGAGGGTTCCAGTAGGTGGAAAATGTTTATTGTTGGGGATGACTGCAAAGCTGGAAAGGTATGTTGGAAGCATACCACAGGAGAGGAAGAAGACAGGGGCTCTTTATATACTTCATTACATTTAATCCTCAGCACAGCTCCAAGAAGTAAGTCCCTTTACAGAGCAGGCCAGCTGTGAGGTCAAGAAATTTGCCCAGGGACACAGGGCTTGTCAGGGTTGGAGTTGCTGTTTTACCAAACACTTCATCGACACAGCCTGAGCTCTCTCCACCACTCAGCCCTGATCTTAAGGCCAGGAGTCTGACTAGATCCTTTGGCAAGCGATGTGCAGATTACCCGTACCCTCCCACTGTACTTTCCAACATCTAAGAAAGCCCATCACTGATAAAAACCAACTCCTAAGCCTGAATTACAGGCTGCAGAGCCTCGAGGAGTCTGCAGAACAGCCTCTCTCAGAACGTGACAATTTTATTTCCCCAAAGAAACAAGAGCCTGGAGGAAAGAATCCGAGGATGGAGGGTGGGAATGACCACAACTGACCAAGCAGTTGGGGCTCAGAATCCCAGGTTTCAAACGTCAAGCCCTCTCCTCCTCCTCCACCATATTAATCACAACAGGGATCTCAAAGTTTGGAAAGTTACTCAGCCATTTACAGCGTTTAATTACCCAAACTTCAAAATGCTCTAATCCACAAACCTAGCCACCCTAGATCCCTTATTCCAAACTTAACCTTATTAACCACGGGGTCTCACTACAACTCGTTAACTACACAAACAATTGAGATGGAAAAATCTACTGTAATCTATTTAAAAATCATTGGCCCCTGAAGTCATGCCGGCCAGGGGGCGGATTGGGGTCCCCCAATTTCACTAGAAGACAGCAGGAGCCTCAGCCTTGACTGAAATTGTTTACAGCACATGGACAGGTTCCACACCAAGGCACACTTGGTGGAACTGATTTCAGGCTCTCATTAAAATGTTCCTTTGTTGAGCACAAGACATCTCCCCAGCCCCCAGAGGAGATTCCAGACCTCCAGTCCCAAGCTCTCTGCCTGCCCTAACTTCCCCCACAGAAGCCCCCTCCACTAAACACCAGTCACCAAATTAACATCAATTAACATCAGAGTCGTCTTCTCACGGAAGGAATTTAGCATTTGTTGAACAAGAGGCCTGTCTCCACCAGAATCTCTCCTTGACTCCAGAACTCTAACATCAGCAGTGAAAGCAGCCATATCGGGAGACCCGCACACCAAAACCCAAACAGCTGGCTGACCTAGGAAGCCTGTGAGCTCGCCCATATGGCTGGGCCCCCAATCCTGGCTGTGCAAAAAAACTTCCATACTTCCTCTGGGAGCAGATGTGGGTTCTGCCATGAGCAATAACCACTCCACACATCACAAGGAACACAGGGCAGCTCCAGAAACACCTCCTACAAATCCCTGGAGCCTGTTCTTACCTCTGGGTCCTGGGTTACAATTACCTCTCCTTTTACAACTAGGGGTGGGGAAGATGTTGATTCCATCAGCACCAAAATCCCTCAACAGCTGGCAGGCCAGGAAGATGTCAGAAAAGGCAATTCTCTACCCCCACTCTCCCTATAGTCATTCTTCAAAGGAGGAAAGTGATAAGCTAGGACCAGGTTCCCTGAGCAGAGTTCCCAGGAGAGGGTTGCTGCCACAATCATCACCAAAGATTTTTGTGATTTTTGGAAGGGAGATAGATGGGGGGATATTTCCAGTCCAGGCTGTGCAGGAAGTTTGGTGCTTTCCTGTAAGGCACTTCAATACCTCAATGGTGACTCTCAGGTGTGACCAAGACAGGAAATAAAGCGGGAAGGGGGATCCGGGTCCTGTGTATCCTGGAGATAGGGGCCACACCCTCATCAAAATGCTGAAGCGCTTGAAGAAAAGACACATTAAACTCTTTTTAAGCCTTACTGGCCCGTAGAAAGTGAAATCTGCTTCCCTCGGTGAGGAGGCACGGGATGGAAATCCAGGAAGGAGCACAACCAACCCCGTCCGCACCTTTGCAGGCCGGCCATGCCCGATTTTGGCAGAGGCCTTCACACATTAGTCACAGCGACAGCCTGGGACTCCGCTCCCCAGATTCAACCCTGACTGGGAGTGGGCTCGGGCCCAGGAGCTAGAGGAGATGGGGCGGCCCCTGATTCTTCCCTTCCTCCGCCCTCGCCAGCAGGGCCATCGGGGGTCCCAGCTTGGCCCTGGGACTTCGAGAAGGGAAGCGGGGAGCTTCGGGCCGGCGTAGGTAACAAAGCTACAGCGCGCCGCAGGTCGGTCCCGCATCTGGCCCCAGGCCGGCCTCCCTCACCTGGGCTGAGCCCGCCAGGGCCACCCTGCCTCCCCCACCGCCAGCCACCTCACCGCAACCCACCCCAAGTAGAAGATAGTCGTTTTTCCCCCGAAAATAAACTCCCCACTAAGGCCCGGACGCCAGCAACTCCACAGCTCCCGAGTAAAACTCTCGGCTCAGGCCGGGAAAACTGTGGAGGCTGGAAACGCGACCTCGCGGGCGTGGGTGGCAAAGGGTCCCCAACCGACCAAGTCCGCTGAGGGCTTAGCCACCTCCCAGCCGCCGGGACCTCGCACCCCCAGCCCGCTTCTCCACTCCAGGGTGTCTTCTCCGCTCCAGTCGCCCAAACCCACTTCCCGGGTGTGCCAGCAGGGCTCCCGCGCTCCCCGAGCCCCGCTCCCCCAGCTCGCCGGGACTCACCGCCCAGCAGCGGCAGCAGCAGGACGCTGAGCAAAGGCAGCCGGCGGGGGCTGCTCCAGGCTCCCCGCGCAACTCCCATCACTGCGGGCTCGGGAAAGGCAGGCGGGCGCACGGCGGACGCGCGGACTGCGCTCC